GATTATTGCGGCTCTGGGCATTTGCTCTCCTTGAACTCAGCCTTGGACCCAAATCTTTCCATGGTTTAACACCATTGTTGAGCCTGCCACCGCGCTGTAGCGGCCACGGCGGGCCATGTCTCCTTTTGCGTTTCGCGCGAAGCCTACGTTCTTTGCGTTGATACTTTCATGCTTAACCTTCGTTTTCCTGCTTCCACCTTTTGAGGATACAGTCGTCGATCTCGAGTATGGCCTATTGGAAGAGATAGTGCCATCCTCTCGTTTCGCTATAGCGACTTTTCTCAGCGGCAACCCGCACGAAGATCAAGAAGATCCCGAGAATTCCAACTACTACTACGCAGCAACACGGGTTTTGACGTACCAATTGCTTCGTGCAGACTCCACTCGGATTCGCAATCCTCTCATCGACTTTCTGGTTCTTACGACAAAAGAGGTTCCTGAGTCTCAGCGTGCCCGCTTGCAAGCCGATGGCGCCACAGTTGTTCCTGTCGACGACATTCCACTTTCCTGGTGGATCAAGACCGGCGTGACGCGCTGGCGCGACCAATTCACCAAGCTGCGTCTTCTTGAAATGACACAATATGCTCGCGTCTGCTTTCTCGACGCCGACACTTTCTTAACCGGACCCCTGGATTCCGTCTTTCATGAGCCAGGCGTATTGAATGCCTCGACAACGGACTTCAACCTCACATCCGCCCTCAAGTCTGACGAGGCGCCTCCGCCTGCGTCCTACGTCTTTGCTGCCCGGTCGGACAATGACTTCGTCGGGCAGCGCGACCATCCCGTCCCACCACCCTCTACAGACACCTTCTCGGCCGGCTTCTGGGTGGCCGCGCCGTCTCGGCCGCTCTTCGAACTCCTGTTGTCCGTCATGCAGCACTACCATCGCTTCGACCCCCACACTATGGAGCAGAGCCTGCTCAACTACGTGTTCCGCCGCGACGGCGCCATGCCTTGGGCCGAGCTGGACTGGCATTGGAGCGCGACATGGCCGAGCGAGGCGGATTTGACGGCTGGAGTAAGGAGTCTACATGAAAAGTTGGGCATGAAAGGTCCACCGGAGACCTTGAGAGCGCTGTGGTTCAAGACTAGGTCGGAGATGCATGAACTCTACAGGGAGCGTGGCCTAGAGTAATAGATTCCCAGTAATCAATTGAAGCAATGGACGATGGAACTATTTATTGACTCAACTTTACCTTTTGAACATGGCAGGCGGTACACAACTGAGCCTGGAGCTGCAGCTTCGCAAGAGGCAATATAGGCAAGCAAAGACAACACATCAACGTGAATACTTCGTGAGATATACATAAAAATCGGCCTTAACCCCGCTCGAAGACCACATGTGGGGCATGCAAACCAAAAGTCCAGGCCCCTCACCCCACAGTCGGCCTGACCAACGCGCTCGCGGACGACGGGAGCCCGCCGCGTACTCACGGCATTATATCACTGGGCAGTAACACCAGACGCAACCTAACATCCAAAAGCGCTCTGGCGTCGCTGACTACTTCAAGACGGCCGTGCTACACTTTGTTGACAATCATCTTCACATCCAACGCTGCGTCATCTCGTCGGAGCAGACATTGACACAAACGCTTGCATCGCCACGACCCATCGCATCCATCTGCTTTGCGTCGTCGTCTCTCACCGCAAAAGAAAGACGAGGTCCTTGAATTGTTCGCGCCCTTGATCATCACCATGTCGCTGGCCCCGCCGTTCACGCAGGAGACGGCCCACGCCAAGGTGAAGAAGGCGCAGGACTTGTGGAACACGCGGTAAGGCTTTCTCTTTTCTACGCGTCCCTGTTCGTTTATGCCCATGGTCATTCTTCCCCTGCCCTTCACATCTCCTACGCCGCCATGCATACGGCATTTCTCAACCCCCGTCTCCTTGTAACCATTGACCCGCCCTCACATGTATTCCAGCGACCCCTCGGCCGTCGTGCAAGCTTATACGCCCGATTCCGTCTGGCGAAACCGATCGATCTTCTTGCGCGGCCACGACGCCATCCACGCGTTCCTATCCACCAAGTGGGCGCGCGAGCATAACTACCGCCTGCGCAAGGAGCTGTTCGCCTTCACCGACAACAAGATTGCTGTGCAATTCTGGTATGAGTATCAGGACAAGGATGACGGGCTGAAATGGAAGCGGTGCTATGGGCTGGAGGACTGGACGTTTGCGGCGGATGGGCGGATGGAGAAGCGCCAGATGAGTGGCAATGATGTTGAGATTGCGGAGGGCGAGAGGTGGTTCAGGGAGGGCATTGATGTGAACGGTGTCAGCATTGGCGAGGAGCATTGGTGAAGGAGGAGCAGGTTGTTGTTGTTGTTCAAAATTTGCAAATCGCTTGTATTGATTTGCTTCGTAGCATTAGGTGGTAGATGTAGTGACTCCGTAACGCCGTACATCCGTGTAAGGGGGTATCTTGTAACCGCTCATAATTCATCCGGCCCAGCTGAATAGAGGCTGCCTGGCTACGCCGTTGGCGGTGTGTCGTGGATGACAACGATCATGAAGCGGGTGTCTGCAATGTGTCTTGTCAGCCATCCATGCTCGTTCGGCTCCGAAGGCTTTGGAGCCAGATGTTCCCATTGATGTCGGCGACCTACCAGGCACAATCACTAGCTCATTTTTGCGCGTCCGTAACCGCAGCAGCTTGACCTCGTCCTCTTCCTCTAGTTCGCGCACCAATGTCCCTGCCGACTGAATGAATCCGTATACCATCCGTGCCACATCTTCGGCACTCTTGATTCCGCTTTCTTTGCGCCCTCCGCTGGTGTTGGCAATGCCTCCTGCTACGGCCGTGTTGTCTGTCGTCGCAGGCGGCAGCGTCGCATTGGGGTTTGCGGCAGCGTTGGAGGATGCGAAGCCGGATGTGTGTACGATTGCACCGGTCTCACGCTCGAGGACGAGGGTCGATTGCACGCCAGGTTTCTGGCTCAGCCGCGTAAGGAGGGACAGCGTCTCGGAGGGCTGGCGTTTGGGGCTTGGTCAGCTTTGAATTTGAGGATTGACGCAATCTTACTCACCACTATTTGTGTCATTGCAAATTTAGGACTTGGGAGTCAGATGCGGATTGAGAGAGGGGAGAGAAGATTGACAATTTGTTTGTTGATGATCTAGAGCTCCAAGCCCTGGGTGAGTACCGACAGAAGGCGGTGAGGCAACGGTCGCGGACGCCATTCCTCATCGGGCTGTAGGGCTGAAGCGCGGGACAAAAAGTCCAGCAGCACACGCGCCGAGCCACAACAACATCCTCCGCCAGGCAGTTGACATGCAGATGTTGAACGGTCTCGCTCAAGATTGAGACCTCTGATGCTGCCGGAGCAGACACGCGCTTACCGAACCAGACGAAGGAAGAGGCTTCTCGACAGCGGCTGAAAACATGGGTTCCAGCACCAAGAAAAAGAAGGAAAAGCAAAAGGACTTTCAGAAGCCAAAGCTGAAGGTCGGCAAGGCAAAGCCGAAAGCGGATAATTTCACTGACACAAGTTTCAAAGCCAAGTGTGAGTCTTGCTTTTTTTCCCACTTCGCCTCTTCCACAAGGTTTCATCTTGCCGTAGACTTTTCAGCTTGCTCCAAAAGTTGCGAGAAGACGGACAGGGGGAGCGCCTATTGCAGAGAAGGGATTAACAGGGTTCATTCAACCTCTCTACAGTAGAGATGTTCGTTGGGAATGTTCATGAAAATCGAACTGACCAGCTGCAGCAATCGTCGTAAAGAAGCAATCAATCAACACGACTCCACAAGGTGTCGTAGCAGAGTGCGCCCATCACTTGTCTCTGTTGTCGCACAAAACAGACACGCAAAGGCGCGAGTCTCTGGCTTACCTGACTGGCGCAACAAATACTGCTCGCGCTCAAAATGCTGCCCTCCCGCAGCCAGTCTCCGTGATCATTTCAAAGGTTGGAACGCTCATTTACGACAATGCCAAATCAGTGCGAGAACAGCTGCTCAAGCTGCTTCAAGTTCTCCCTCCAAACGATGTCAAGCCATATGTTGAGGACCTTGTGCGGCGCACGCGCGCGGGCATGACGTCTCTGTCAACGGACATTCGTCTTTCCAGTCTGGACGTCCTCGACTGGCTACTTCAAAGCCACCCAGAAGACACTGTGTCTTGTGCTGGCGGTTGGGTGCACACGCTCAAATGTTTCAACTCGACTCTTGGCTTCAGAGAGCCCGTCTCTGCCTCTGCGCCGCAGAAATGGTCAACTGCCGCCAGCACTGTCGGCGCCTCGCACTCAGACTCGGAAAAACTCAAAAAGTTGCGCGTTCATCAACTCACTTCCCTCGCAAAGTTTTTGAGGACTGGTATCATGCAGGCCCCGGAAGAAAAGGAGCGCGCGAAGGAAGAGGCAGACCGGCTTAGGCGAAAGTGTTTCCCACTCCACCAAGCGCACCATCACTTGCACACGCCTCCGAACGCTTTCGACCACCTCAATCTATTTGGCGCGCCGCCGGATGAGGACAATCGCATGCATACCGATCGCCACGGCCGGCAGCGCGCCTTTGCAAAGCTGGTACGGCCAGCCCTTGAGAATGGACTCAAGTCTGCGAAGAAGGAAGGAGGCATGGTAGGAAGAGCTGCTGGAGAAGTTGAAAAGGTTGTGCGGGAGGGAATGCACGACTTTGACGACGATGTCTCCGACTATGACGACTAAAAAACATCATTCACAAAAGAGACAGCGATTCAACACTTCCGCTTCAAATCAACACTTGCATGAACTTCTGTCTGCACAACAGCAAATGAAATTTTCGATTGCCTCAGCAGTCTTGACAACTCACTGCAAACAAACACTTCGATCATTTGTTCTACCAGGCCGTTGCCGCCTCACTTCAATCTTGACGTCCACCAGGCCTTCTTTCTTCGCCTCAAGACTCGCTCTGTCCTTTCTGCGCTCTAACCACACATGAGCAGATGGAGAAATCGGTTCGCAAAAAGTTAAAGGAGCCAAAAGGACAACACTAAATAGACAAGCAGCCTTCTGGCCTCTCACTGCTATTGACATTGATCAGATTCGAACTGATGCTCCCGAAGGAAACTGAAATCTAGTCTGTTGCGATAACCACTTCGCCACAATGCCTGATGTTGTGGTGTTTCAGGGGAATGCCCTCATCACCAAGGCCCAACTGGAAGTGCGATCAGGGGGTGCTGGGAAAACCAGGGGTTATTTCTTGGCACCCTAGTCCCTTTATGCGAGAGAGAACTGATAAAAGTCAGGTATGCGGTCATGGGCGATCAATCTCTGCCCACATACTCGAGCGCAAACACTCGACGCAAACAATATCCTGTTACGTATCAACAACGAGAGCCTCCCGAGTGCCGCACTGGAGGACTTTCAAACCGCCCTATAAAGGTGCATCCATCGCATCATCCACCTGAGTGATTCTGATTACGCTCTTGTCTGTTGTTCGGCCGGACCGCAACATTCCTCGCTCGGCAACTTGACCACCACCCACCTACTGCATCGCTCCAGAACACCATGCACAATCAACTTTCGTCTAAGACAAAACGAACAACACCTTGTGCTGCAAAATGGAGGTTCCGAAAACGCAAAAAGCAAAAGAACACGCCCAACGCGAGACTCGAACTCGCAACCCTCAGATTAAAAGTCTGATGCGCTAACCGATTGCGCCAGCCGGGCTAACTTTGCTACTATGAGGAGCGTGTTAAATATATCAATTGCAATTGTTTCTCTCATTCACATTTCAGCCGCTCACGCGCACCCCCCTTCTGCTTTTCAGAAAATTAGAAACCACCTATAACCAGGCTGCACCTCCATAGCCCATCACGCCGGCTCTAGATTCGCGTGTCAAGGCAAATCCGTCACTCAAGCATGGCCATCTAGAAGAAAAAAAGGAAGTCCGACCAATCACAAAACGCTCGGACCACGCCCCTTACAAAAGCCAACCTTCCCAACCGCAGCGGCCTAGGCACGTACTCGTGCAATCGCCATCAGGCGAATACGAGGGGCTCGGGAAAGGTATGATCGCCAGGGAGGTCGATGCGATGATGTGGAGGCGGAAATTGCGGCGACGACGGGAGAGCAACGGCGGAGCCCTGCCAGCTCTCCGCCGCTAGGCCGGAAAGGGGAGCGGGAAGGCAGACGATGAAGTTTGAGGGTTGACGGTTGGCGTGCGAGACGTGTGGGCTCCAATGAGCGGGCAGCGCGCATGATGCGAGGACTGAATTGCGGGAGGGAGGGGACAGGGCACTCGCTGGGTTAGGGGTGTCTGCGAGCGTTTGATTGCACGTTGCCTTCTTTTTGGGGGGGGGGGGGGGGGGGGTCGACGAGACGGATTGTCTGACTGACTGCACTGGTCGAGGGATGTCGTGTCGGACTGAGGACGGCGTGGGCACGGGGTGGTGGGTAGGTAGGTGTCGAGGGAAAGGAGCACGGCGCCAGTAGCGACGGCGGCGGGAGGATGCGGAGCGCCGGCCGTGACCGCGTTGCTGGAGCACAGCTATTTGCCTTGCTACAGTAGAGCACTGTCCAAGTGCAATAGTTACTGTACGGGAGGTGCCTGAATAGCGGGCGGTACGGTACCTACCTGGAGCCAGCCAGCTTGGCAGGGGCTGTTGGGCATGGGCAAGGGACGGGATGATCCAGGGGCGCCAGGCACGCTTGCGCGCGGCGCTCCCGCGCCTTGTGCCTGAAAGCGAACGAATCTGGGGCCAGCGATCTACGGGGCCGGTGCTAGCGTCTCGGGAAATAGGCGTCAGGGCGGGGATTACGCACGCGGACGCTGTCAGGCCATTGTGTAAATTGCTGACTTCAAGGCCACTGTCTGGTCAGGTTTGGGCTGGACGAGTAGCAGAGCTTGCACGTTGCCTGTATCTGGGTTTGTTCCAGCCGCTGCTATTGGGGAAAGCTGTAGGGAAGAAAGAATCGCAAACGTTGGACAGACGTGTTGACTTACTTGGCAGAGACACTGACGTCTTTGACGCTCGCGCTTGTTGCGTCTGCTGGAATTGCGAATTTGCTGACATTCTGACGTATGAGAGGAAGTTTCAAAATCCGCGAAATGTCGTTGTCAGTGCCAAGTGGTGGCGGCGGGAGTCCGAAGCAAATATTGGTCGTTGATGAGGCTTGGAGATCTTCGAGATGCGATGTGGGTACACTGCCAAGCACTAACGCCAAAGCAGCCCTACGACCGAGTTTTGTGAGTCTCATGTTGAAGGCGTCTCTTCGCTGTTGAGCCTAGGCCGATGAGTAACTCAAAAAAGCAGGACGTGCTTCTTATCTCAGCCTTTTGGCTTTCCATCCCCTGAACAGTCACTGAAGCCTAATTTGACACTGGCCGTCTGCGAGTCAGCCAGTCAGCTCCTCAAGTGAACCGTTTGGTATATGAAGAAACGTTGTCCGCTGAATGCTCGCTTGAGCCGGCGACTGCCTCGTCGATGCTTTTTGTTCGCGCTCGTAATGGGCCCGTCCAGCGGAGAAAACACGTCTTCTTCGAATTGATTGATATCGTGACGGAAGGGTCTAAAATCTCGTTTCGCTTTCTGAAGCATTGGGCTTGAAGTTTCGTGGTTTGTCCAACAGGGATAGAGTACTCCATGGCGACTGAATGATTCACGGGAGGGTTCCTCGCGCCCAACGTGACATCAGGAGCGACCTGTAGGCTTGTATCATGTATGCTTAATCACTTCTCGGGAAGAATCTGGCTGTGGACCAGGCCTAGCCAAGGTGATGTCGCGGCTCTAGCACGGCAGCATGAGCGAATGCTGTTCAGGAGTAAGCCGTCGAAATGAGTACCTCTGTTTTCCAAGTGTATGCAGTTGGTAAGATGTGGATTTGATATGGAGGGCAATGAGGTTGCCAGCGAGAGACTGAAAGGTGGATTGCAAAACAACGAGGGTATTGAACTATAGTCTACAAATATGCTGAACATCTGGGAAAAATTGCATCGTGGTATACAACTCGTAGCCAAAAACTGACGGCAACTGCAACTGTTTCACTCCAAGTAGTTGGACACCGGCTGACGCAGTGAGCTTGTGCAGTGACTCCAGCAGTCATCTCGAGTTACGGATGCATGGTATCATGTCGAGAGGCTGTGCCTCGTAGCGCTGCTCGACGACGGCCGGTGTCTCGAGCTGCTTCCACCTTCATCACTAGTAGGAGAAGCTGCGGCTTTCCTAATCCGTGACGCTTTTGGAAAGTCACCCTCTCGTCTGTCCCCCTCTCAGAAAACATAGGGTAGTGACACGACTTCCGGGGTAGATTAGAGTGGGTACTTGGTCATGGGTACTTGATGCGCCAGAGCATCGATTCGGAGTAATGGCAAGCACCCATGCCGTTTCGTTGCTTGTCGGTGGAGATGCTGTTGAAGCGACCCTGAGGTCTAGATGTAAAACTGCGAGCCCTCAGGGATGCGAGAAGTAAATGTTGAGCGCCTGGGTGTTGCCTCATCAGGCGCAAGCTGATCAACAATCTGTATCGCTCTAGTCGATCTCCAGTAACTCTTTCAGGCGATGCACTTCGACATGATCCCTTCATCGCGTCAGCGTAGTTCATAGAATACCATCTGTGCTCGAGAGTTACCGGAAGTGTTTCATTCGATTACACCAGATCACCTCCTCGTTTTCAAACAAGAACTCTCCCCCAATCTGGAGCCAGTGGCCGCTTTTCATGGCCGATTTAAAGCCTTGTTTTTGCACCTGCTCGTTGGCCTGGACCATCTGACCATAAATCCACTTGGGAATCGAGATGTCTTTCATGTAATCTGGTCTTTTGTTCCCAAAGTCCGTGGTCCAGGACATGCCCAGCGCATTATAAAGCGCCCGTGTTGGATCGGCATATACGGGAAAGGGACATCCAGTGTACTCTTTGTAGGGGGTAATCATGTTCGTCCCTCCGCAGCCAATGACGGTGATTGATGTTGGTATCGGCATAGTGAAGTATGACTGAGGAGTAATGGTCTTGGTCAAGGCTTTCAAGTAGGCTTGACATGCCTTGTTTGGGTTAGAGGACGCAAGAGCGTGTTTAAGGAGGGCAAACCTACACCACAGTAGAAATGTCGTATAAAAATAATCAACTGTCTTTCCCCTATTGCTGTAGGTCCGCTCCAGAGGCTTCCAAATGATCTTGGTTTGTTATCTTTGTCGTATACCGGAATCTGGCTAACGGCTTCGAGAAAACTTCGGCCGGGACAGTCGACAGACACATTTACAACTTCGCGAAATTTATTGATGTAGTCTTCGTACTCAAACTCTTGCGGGTGTTCATCGAACCGGACATGATGGTGGACGTCGCACTCATGCGATGGACAACTCGGATGGCTAGTCGGCGCGGTACTGTGGGTGTCGTTTGAATCCCGACCTGAGCTGGAAGGAGGTTCGAGCAGATCCGAGCTGTCGTCAGAGAGTGGCATCACATGGGCATAGCGCTGGTTGAAGAATTCCATGTCGGATGAAGATGATGAGGACCACCGCGACACGGGTGTCATCGCGGGCTCACCCGATGAGTGTAGGTGAGCAAGTCGATGGGACTTGGAGGGAGTGAAGTGGCGGATGCGGCTATGGAACATGATAAGACCTGGGGATATTATCGGTCAAGAGTCATCCTGGTACGGGCAGGAGGGGATATATGAGGGGAACGTGCACATGGGGAGCGTGGAGCGGTTGGAGATGGCGGCGGGTGGAATTTGCCCATAGTTGAACAAAGCCAGCAGGCTAGTACATAGATCCCAGCAACCGGGGCGTTTCTTGCTCGGGGATGTCATAAGCAATGCACCGCAGCAAAGGGCTGGCCGGGAGGCGCGGGCGGCGGCGCTGCCGTCGTCGTGGGCGTGTCACAAGAGCGCTGGCTGGCCACTCCCAAAAGTCGACTTCTGCAGCTCGCCACACAACTTCGGGCCCTCGGACACGGCGCGTTCTCTACATGCGGCTGAAAGACCAGTCAGATTGAGCGCCGGACTTCCAGTCTCAGAAGAAAGGTTGCACTGTAATCGGAAGGAAAGCAAGGGCACACATGGCGGCCTGGATGATGTCGACCAAGCCCGCGGCTCTCGATCCCAGTGAAGTCGTCGCGGTCTGGAGGGTTGGTTCAGTTGCTGTGTTTCAATGACCACAGCACTACTC